TCTGTCACCCAGACTGGAGTGCAGTGGCCGCTCCCGGCCACCGCAGCCTCCACCTGCTGGGCTCCGGCGATCCTTCTGCCTCAGCCTTCCAAGTAGCTGGAACTACAGGTGCGCGCTACCATGCCCGGCTAATTTTTGATTTATTGTAGAGATGAGGTCTCGCCAAGTTGCACAGGCGGTCTCGAACCCGCGGGCTCAGGCAATAAACTCACCTCAGCCTCCCAAAGGCACGGGATTACAGGCTGAGCCACCGAGCCCGGCTGTTAATTTTAATATAGTAAAATATGTCAAATTTTATGGTTGGTGCTTTTTGTGACTTGAAACATTTTCTTTCTTGGCTGGGCACTTTGGGAGGCCATGGTGGGAGGACTGCATGAGCCTAGGAGTTCAAGACCAGCCTAGAAACATAGTGAGACTTCGAATCTACAAAAATTAATAATGAAAAAAATTAGTAGCCAGGCATAGTGCACGTGTCTGTAGTACCAGCTACTCGGGAGGGTGACGTGAAGAATCACCAGGCCAAGGGGGCTGAGGCTGCAGTGAGCTATGCTCATGCCACTGCACTCCAGCCTGCATGACAGAACGAGAGCTTGACTCAAAATAAATTATTTTCCCAAAGCCAAGGACATAAAAATACTTTTCCTGGTATCTTTTATAAAACTAAACACTAAAAGTTTGGTAGTTTTGCCTTGTACATTTGGTCTAAAATTCACTGGAGTTGCTTTGTACCGATAATGTGGAGTAGGGGTCCAATTTCATTTGTTCCCAACATCCCATTGCATTTAATGAAAAAGACCTTAGCCGGGCATAGTAGCGTGCGCCTGTAGTTTCGGCTACTTGGAAGGCTGAAGTGGAAGGATTGCCGGAGTCCAGCAGGTTGAGGCTGCAGTGGCCGGGCATGTCACTGCACTCCAGTTGGACAACAGAGTGAGACTCCAACTCAAAAAAAAAAAAAAGAAAAAGAAAAAGACCTGTCCAGGGTTACCTGCAAGATCAATGTTTGTATACCTAACCCGGAACTGTACTCCACGTCTTTATAATAAATTTTTTAAAAAGTCAGGTTCGGTGGCTCAGCCTGTAATTCCGCCCCTTTGGGAGGCTGAGGTGAGTGGATTGCCTGAGCCCACGGGTTCGAGACCCGCCTGGGCAGGCGAGACCTCATCTCTACAATAAATCAAAAAAATTAGCTGGACTGGGGGTGGGACTCTGAACATACAGGAAGTTCCCCGGCTAATGCAATGGTGCAGATGAACTGGTTCCTGTCAAGAGACGGACCCTGGGGAGCCACCGGCAAAGATCCCCAAGATGCCTTCCATCTTTAAGTTCCTTTACTTTAACAAGGGGCTCTGGGCTACTTGTTTCTTCCACGCCCTTTGGGTGCAAACACGTATATGAGCCACATTGCAAAGAAATACAACAAACCTCAAATTCCACAAACTACATGATTTTATTTATAAAATTCAGCATATTGTTCATTATTGTCCATGTCCATTTAAAGTCCTCAGTTACAGGTCTCATTTCTTAAAATAGTTTTGAAAATGTACTCAGAGAAGAGTATTACTAAATACCTTATTAAGTTGATATACCATGGGCATCAATAAGTAACCCTACAGAAAAAGAGTTAATATAAAACAATACAAAAGTACTACAGACAATTATAGCTTATCAATATTATTTTCATTCCATTACTGGGATCTTCTCATGTAGTCACCTTTATTCGGGAAATGATTTCATTTACAAAACTATTATTCTTTGCCATCACTTCAGCCTTCAGCTGTTTCAACTTTACTGTGATGTTTTCTTCTGACATCTCGGTAAAGGGTACTTGTTTCACCTTGGATAGAAACTCCTGGATGATTTTTTCACCTTGCTGAAAAATACAAGAACATCCCATTAGTCATTAAAATGTCTTCTCCCAAAGTCACATTAGACAGTAATCAATTGTTTCATTTCCATCTAAACACACCATTCAATACTTAAAGAAAATTTATTATTATTTGGGGCGTTGTCTAGAACATATAGCAAAACCCTTAGGAGACCATACTTCTCCACAGCAAGTCATTTAAAGGACATTTATAAATCTAATTTCAGTTGCTAATGACAAGGGAACTAAAATTTTAGTAGTTTCCAAATCCCTCCACTTATATAGTTGATATATAAACTTAATCCTTTGAGAAAAAAATAATTCCAGGTTTCCAAAGACTACTGTAAGGCATAAACAGTCAGTGAAAATTTTACACACACACACACACACACACACACACACACACACACACGATGCTGCCTTTGTATTTATTTTACCTACCAGTTATTACCATTCCAAAGAACATGGTTATTACGTGATATGTTATCCTTGGACAAATTACTTAACCCACATTCCTCATCCATAACATGTGAATAATAAAACACTACCAACCTCACAGGGCTCATAATACGTTACAATTCATATCAAAAGTCCATGACTTCTGGTCTATCTGGAAGCCAGGGATTACATAAAAGAACCTACCTAAACCTGGATCCCTGAGAGCTATGATTTTGATACATTTAAGTGCTAATACAAAGACTACTTCCTATCCAGGATGGCAACCTTCCACACTTGCTGGTATAGGTATAACAGATAAAACTATACTCTTTAAACTCAAAAATCTTATCAATTATCTATTACTATTGTAGTAAATAAGAAGAATAAAATAGTCAAAGCAAAAACATGACAAGTAAAAAGGTGTCACAACGTATAGCACAGTAAATGTTGCCAGGACTAGGCAGTCAATTAATCTTGTATTTTTATTTTTTTATTAAAGATAACTAGTAAGTCGTTAATTTTTTTAAAAAGCAAGTCAGGCTTATGTTTGTGCCTTTCTGTGTGAATGTGACCCATCACTCAGACAAGCCCAGCTTCTGCCACAAGAACTGAAAATCCTGCCCACAAACAGCTTTCGTGAATATATATTTGTCATGAACCACTTTATTCTCTATGTCACATTCGTAATTCTTATCTCCCCAACTGAATTCTAAATAACTGGAGGGCAGGAATTATAAATCATGCTTTTTGATTTCTTTGTTATTTTCTTATCTAAGTAGATAGCTAATTTTACTGGACATGATATATACATTTATGAAGTAACCAAAGATGCACTTGATACCTATAGCTCTTTTGAATGACTAATTTTAATCCTAGATGAATATTCTTTTACTCCTACTTTTGAAATCTGGTACTTCAAATGGTTGTCTTTTGACCATGTGGATGTATACAGTATGGAAATCAAAATGACAGAAGTGGGACATCTGCCATGCAAAGAGATGTAAGTGAAAGCTAATCATGAGACATCCAAAAGTAAACACTGGATCACACAGGAAAAACTCCTCATCTAAGGGACTCGGTTTATGCAATAGTACAGAGGTCAAATTAAACCCAAAACAACCGACAAACCTCTCTCTCCAGATAGCACTTCTTCGCTGCTGGTTCTGTCTCATCATAGCCTTGTGATTCTCCAATATGCTGGAACTCCTCGAGCTCCAGGGCTTTTTGTTTAGCACACTCTATTACATGTTTAGGGAAATTAGCCAGCTCTGCAACATGAATCCCAAAACTCTGATCACAGACACCTACAAGAAATGTGGCGGCATGTGAGAGGACAGGGTAAGACAGCCATTTATATCAGTGGAATTTATCCCTCCCCCCTTGTCATTGGGAAGCCTAATTCTGAATTATTTCAAATGTAGTAGCCAAATGTTGCAGAGTAATTTAGATAAAGAAATTTTAATTAAGTTTCCAATGAAAAGTGATTACGACTTGGCAAACAATGCTATATTTTATTCCTGACAAATGTAGTAGGAAACAGCAGAAGAAAAGCTTATAGTCCTCAAAGGCCTAGACAAGTATCTTAACCAGAAGAAAAATTAATCAACTCTATATCTCTTTGAGGCTTTCTCACTTCATGAGAGGACTAAAGTACTAAAGAAGTCGGGCTTGGTGGCTCAGCCTGTAATCCCACGCTTTGGGAGGCTGAGGTGAGTGGATTGCCTGAGCCC